AGTAGACATAATGCTGTATAATTGATTTTGCAATTACTTAGATTACTTATTGTCTTGTTTTAATATGTAGAAACATAATTAGTGTTAATGCTGTAGAATAGACCCCACCCCTGTGCTCCCCATGTTTCTGCAATGTATTGTCTGTTTTTATAATATAATCTAATTAAAAAAAACAAATTTGCTCAATAAATCATTTTGCTCCAATTACATAACAGCCTGGAAGCACTTCTTGATACGTTAAGTGTAGTCAGGTAACATACTCATGAATATTCAACAGCATGTTACCTTATTTTTGGTCATTTTAATATGAATATTTATTTGAATACAATTATTTGAGGTGTTTGCATGTTTTCTTGAAAGAAAGTTTTTCTTTCTGTAGAAATGTTTGCATGCCCACACTAACAATTTTTAAAATGGAACTCAAACTGTATAAAAAAAAACTGACTTAATATCAGTCTTGTTTTCATAAAAATTAGTATCTGATTGTCAAATTTTCAGTAGAAATCTTTCGCTAAGTTTTAGGAAAAATTTTTACATCAAATTCTGTTGATTTTTACACTGCTCTTGTCATTGATTGATTGTGTACAAGTTGATAGTTTGCTTGTAAAATTGTATTTGATCAATATTATTTTTTTGTATTAATGTCTGTCTGAGATGGTGATAACTTGTTTTGTCCATTCACTGTTTATTTTATCAAGAATTTAATTGATATTTTTTTAAGTTTTCTCACTGAATTTCTATATTGCTATAAAAATTCTGCAATTACTATAATGAAAAATTGAGATAGTTATTCAACAATTATTTTATATTTTTTGGAATGGTGCTCGAAATATTGCAGAAAGTCAAAAATTTGCACAAAGTGCTCAACTTGCACTAAAATAGTATTATAAATAGTACAGTAATAGTAATGTTAAATGATTAATTTAAAAACCATTTAAAATTTGCTCTTATTAGAATTCAAATGTTTTGAGAATGGGGATGTACCCGGTATACTTTTTTGCACAATGAGTATTTTTTAGATTGATAATGGCATTATGCAAATTTACAATCTATTTGTGTTGTTATTCTTAATTTTGTTGGTTATTTTGGTATTTTTTGTGATAAAAAACTAGTTTGTTTTCAATTTTATTATTTTATTTCTTTGTTGTCTGTTTCAGATCTTTGCATGCTAATGATTCGCCATCTGAGTTTGCAACTTTTCCACTGAATTCTTCATATACCTCTCTTCCCAACACTAACACTTCGCTTGATTCTATGCATGCCTCATCTAACCAGTCACTAATCCATCCACAACCTACTACATATTCAACGTTAAACGACCAACTCATGCGTGCCATTCCCAGTGCCGGACAAGAAGGTGTGGTAGTACGTTCCACCGAGCACAAAGTTAAAACCACTCTAAAATTCTATCCTTTAGATGAATATGATAAGTTGGTTAAGTCGGGCGAGATTCAGCCAGAAACTGATAATGTAGAAGTTATAAAGTATATTCCCCCAAAAGAAGATGAGAGTGTAGACACTGGACCAGACAAACCTGCACCCTCCTATAATTGGGTAATGAATCGAATCGGGAGTTTGAGAACTTTGAGCAAAGAGACAAATAATGCTTTGCAAAATGATTATTTAACCCAAAAATCCGCTTATCAATCACAACCAGATTTAAGAGGGTACACATATGAACCTACGACATCAGCATCACAAATTTCACTGTCTTTTACTCCGATTTCAAAAGGAACAACTTTTTCAAGAAGTGAGACAAATGTGGGACCAAATAATACTACAATTTTACGCCCAGAACCATGTATTTTTCCCAAAAGACCCTCGCATCCATTCCAGCATGAATCTTCACTTGGTAGCATGAATGACCTCCGAAGTGCACAGCACGTTAGCCCAGCTGGAGAGAACCCGAGAACGTATTACCAATCCACTCCAAACCTTTTGCATGATAACAAGACACTAATGCATGGATTGGACCTAACCAGCTCAAAATCGCTGAGTAGACTCGATGAGGAAGACACATTATATGCAGAGTCTGCACAGATATCATATGATCCCAGAACGGCTACTAACATGGCCAAGAACGAACATGCCGCATGTGGCTCATATAATACTGATATAACAAGCTTGAATAAAAGCATGAGTAATGTAGAGGAAGGCTATTATCAGGTGCCACGAAAGGTTCGTTTCAGCTCAGATTCAAACCTTCTTGGTGACTCTTTCTTTAGGGCGCCCTCGGTTGACGAACCAGATGCAAAGGCAGGTGAGCCAGTCCAGGAGCCTGTCATTAAACAAGGAACTGTAGCCAGTAGAGTTGCTGGTTAGTATTTAATTATTGTTTTTTCAAGTTTTTTGTAACATACATCAACAAGGAGCAGTTGTCCAGCCTCCAGCAAATGTATTGTTCCTTATGGTTCACAAATATCGCGAAATCTCCATATTGCTTAAAAACTTAACAAACACATCTCATTAGTACACAATGGAGACCAGTATTTTGACTGATTGGGCCATAAACCTTTAGGAATAGATAATTAAAAACTTTTTTAAAACTTGGGCAGCACACTTTATTATGGCTTGAATCAGTGATCTTTAATTATGTTAGATATAAAATAATATTGTTGATGATGATGTGTTTATCCTCCTAGATGCCCGTGCCAGAATTGATGAACTGGAGCGTTCAATGAGCCCCCCAGCTTTGGAACGTCAACCTCGTTCCCTACATCGAAGCAATAGTGCTGCAGGGTATGAGAACGGTAGTCAAAGTATTCGTTCACGAACACCGTCACCAGAACTCTGGATGAGGAACCCAGGTGGTCAACCACTGCAGGTGTGTCATCAATTAATTAATTCATTTATATTGTAAAGCAGTTCACTTGTTTTATTGTATATTATGAGATGCTGGCATCACATACCATCACAAGATAGAGTGCTCAGGATGTGTACATTTGCAACACATATTTGAGGATATATACTGTATAACCAATTAATACATGTCACCAATGCTTGAATAGAGTAAATATAAAACACAATTATTTTACATATTTAATTCTTTCTTTAGGAAACATATTATTGGAATCGTTCAGAGGGTTTGAAGTCTCCGGAGATAGAAGCTAGGAGGGAGAAGGAGAGGCTGATAGAATATGGACCAGGGTTTGATTCACCTCCTACACCTAGCTTTCCATTGGATCCTAAAACACCTTACGTTCATTTGGTCTCTACGCCCACGCCCCTTGCTTTCGTTGGACGAGGTCCTGAAGGTAATAATCTTTGTTATAATGTTTTTGGAATTTTTTAAGAGATTATTTTTTTCACAAGAGTTAATTGACATACCAAATTATCATTATTCTTAGATAATTAAATATTGGTTTTTAATTCAATTCAATTCAATACAAATTTATATTATTTAAAGATGCGGTTTACCAAAAAATTACTATGGTAATAAATTATATTTTTGTGGTCTGTTTATTTGTTATATTATTTAATGTATAACATAATAATATAAATACATTATTTTCATGTTTAATTAGAAGTGTAGTGTAAAGAATTCTAGTTAAGTTTATGGTAGTAAAAAAGAAATTATTTGACTTTTAAATTATTCATTTGGTTTCAGGGTAGAGTAGACAAAAATGCATTTCACCTTCTGTACAAAATTGAAATTTTTTTTTTAGTGATCAAATTTCAAATTCCTTTGAGTTATTGTAATAATAGGTCTGTGACATCACGCTAAGTTACCATGGCAGTGACCTTCATTAAGTTTTGGGGAGTTCCAAGTTAGCATTTCACGACCCTTGCAATGAAAACAAGTTAATTCATTGGTCCCTTTAGGGTATGTTGCATACCAAACCAACCACACAAAACCCACGCATGTTTCTGGCTTAACAACGTCATCTTCCTTATCAGTCCTGCTCGGTCATGCATGTAAATCTTGTTCCCATTTACCATAAAAGTAGTAGATCTGTAAAAGCAAAAAGTTTACAACAGGAATCAGACAGAGCATTCAACACAGCTGGAAGCGGGTAACCACTTTATTTTTCTCTCTCGGATGTCAACGTCTAAAGCTATTTTTAGTAGTTGATTTGATGTTCAAATAGAGGCATTTGCAACAGAAAACGGTCAGAAACACTTGTCTCTGCGAAAACAACCAATCTGTTAGATACTTGTGAAAGAATGTTTTAACAAATTCATGCTGCTGAATTATTTATCTGACAAAAGGTTTGTTAAGAATCCATATTAGATTTGTTTTTTAGATTATTAAAATTGACATTTAAAAATGATAGGTTTTTAATTTGACCAATTTCTCTCATGTTAGCTTAGTTAGAATTTAATACAGTAAATGTGTATTAACTTTATTTTTAATGCATCTTTATATTTAAACATGTGATGCTAGAAACCAATACCCCATATTTTACTACAGTATTTGCATAATATTTCCATTTCAACACTACTACGTAGTGTAAAGTGTAAGAATAGGTGAAAGAACACATCCTGCTGGGGCACTTCAAGGATTTGTTCTTTCACCTATTCTTTTTACACTAGTGATTATATCTGCAATGATAGAAAATGCTCAATGCATCAATATGCTGATGATACTGTAATACTGGGCTTTCTCACAGACACACCTAGTGGTTACCATGATGAAGTACGCAGATTTGTTAAATGGTGTGATCAATAAAGATCAATACAAATAAGATTAAGGAAATGATAATTGACTTTAGAAATCAGAAAGGTACAATTGAGCCTCTTAAAATTAAAGTCCTTGTTGAGCAAGTTGATCAATACCAGTATTTAGGAACCACAATTGACAATAGGTTGTCCTGGAAATTATGCTGAAAATACTGTCACTGAAAGCCAATCAGCGCCTACACTTTCTAAGAAAGTTTTTGAAGTTCAATGTCAATCATAACATTTTAGCACTCTTTTACAAAGCAGTTATACAGAGTGTCCTAATTTTTCACTTAATTTGCTACTATGGTAATGTTTTTAACTATAACAAGGACCAATTTGAACGAATTGTTGAAAAAAGCAAACGATGTATTAAGGGAGATATTGAACTAGATTCAGTAATGATAATTGTATGGAGCAGAAATTACATGCAATAATGAAGAATGAAGCAGACATTATGTGAATAATGAAGAATGAAGCAGACATTATGTACAATAATGAAGGATGAAATACAAACATTGCATTTACAACTAAATTTTAACAAAAGTGGCTTTAGTGCCAAAATCAAATACTTGCCGATACAGGAAGTCATTTATTCCAGATACAATATTCAATTTAAATTTTATAGCAAAACGTTAGAATTTTATCGTTTTAATCTGTGTTCAAATACTGGTCTGTCTCTGAGGTACACATAGTAAATTTTAAACAATTTTAGAACAGTGATTTTCATTGACTTTTTTAGTACTTTACTATTTTAACGTGTTAATATCTTAACATATTTCTCGTCAATGCAACATTGTGTTGTTTTGTAATTTTTCTTGTAATTTTAAACATTTTAAGTATATACAACTAATACAATAAAAGGCAAATATAAAATGTTTCAATACTATATGTTGCTAGGATTCTTTGTTCGAAACAAAACATGTGTAGTGAAAAGTAGGCCTACAGTGAATTTATGTCAAAGCATTTCGGATTACAAAATCTTAAATGCCCACTCTAAAAAAGATTCCCCAAAAAGCAGACTAAAAGTGGAAATAGTGCCCCTCTTTGAAGCAATAAGTGTTTGGGTAGTTACTGTGTGTTTTTGAAGAGTGGAGCGATGTGAGTTGGGATGGTGTGGTGGTTTAAGTAAATTAGGAACATATTTTGGGAGATTTATTTTACAGAAAGGGATTTGCAGTGGGCGAAGATATGCTGAGTGATCTTATATTTTCATCTACATTATTAATCATCGTCATCATTTAATACTATCATCATCATTATTATTATTGTTAACATTATTAATATTAAGGCTATTATTATTTCTGTGATCATTATAATCACCATTATCATTATTTATTAGCATCAGACAGTGAGCCAGACAGATAATAAAGAAACCTCAGACTAGGAAATGCTTGTTTGCTCAGACAACATTTCATTTGGTAGTCATTGTTTTTATTCTGATTCTGATAATGTATTTTGAGTATAAAGTTGTGTCTGTAATTTATTCATTGTAATTAAAACCACAGACAAAATGAAACAATATCGGATGGAATTCAGGAAATGCTTATTTACAGAAACAATTTTTTGTTAGACATCTGTGGCTGTTGTTTTACAATAATGTTTTAGGCATGGCCTGTGTCAATTGTTAAGAGGCTTAATTTAACGTAGCAAGTGATGTTTGGCTTAGAGCTAGATTTGTAAACATTATTTTCCATGAATTTTCGATCAGTGTCCCTTGAACTTGTGAGGACATGTGTGGGCAGCCTAAATGTTCCAGGCTTGGCCAACACTAATCCATTAATGAGCCCTGCAGCAATTGATGTTCAGCTTACTTAGTGTTGGATTTGTAAACACACAATTTTTCTGTGAATTTCTGATCATCGCACCTTGAACTTGCCAGGACAAGTTTGTTTTTATAATCAATGTGTTAAAGTGGATTTTTATTGGCAAAATGCTAAGCTTTTATCCATTAATATAATTAGTTTAGCAGAGTCAGGATGTGTATATATTACAATTAAAATCCAAATTTACTCAGTGTTCAGCCAACTACAACTCCAGTTGGATAACTTTTGTTAGCACAAAATGTAAATTAGTTTCTGTTAACACACTGTTTAGAATTTGTAGGATATATGCATTGTTGTTCAGGAAGTGTATTTGAATGTGAATCCAAATTTACTCCGTGTTCTGCTTAAACAGGAACTCCAGTTGGTTACCTTTTCTATGTAAGTTAATTTCTGTTAAGACATTATTTATAATTTGTAGGATATATGCATTCTTGATAAGGTATGTTTTTGGCGCTGATATTGCATTACGGTTTTGTTTGTCTCATGTTCATAGGAATATGTTTTGTTGAAACTAAGTTTGTGTGTGCATTATTATATTGTTATTTTGGGGTATTTTATCAAACCTGGTGGTACAACCATAGAGAAAATAGAACATTCTCTATGGTACAACATGGCATTTTACAGATAACAAGCTTCAGTCGTGCAGTAACCACAGATCTTATTTGTATGTAGGATCTGTGGTGTAACCACATATCCAATAGGACACAACTCCCTTGAGGCAAATTCCATAATGTTTCAGCATGGTTCCAGCTAGTAATAAACACATTCGTATTTACACCACCAGGTACCTCCTCAATCATCAATCAATTGCAAGATTTTTATTGTGCCAGAAATCCAAAATAAAAATTTCAGCAAAACAAAAGAAAGAGTGTATTAAATGACCATAAAGATAAAACCAGAAGAAAAGACAAGATAATTTTCAGGATGAATGGACAGAATCTTTTTACCCAAAATAGATTTTTTGAGTAGGAAATATCAAAATAGGTTAGAAGCCCAGAGATTTCTGCTGTGTCACATTAGTTTCCGCATGGTTTCTAGATTTCTTCTTGACTTTACTGCGACTTCCCGATGGCTGGGTCATATTTACCCAACAGCTTGGCAAATGCATTAAAAAATATCATGTTATAAAATGTTTCATAAAATTTTGTCATGCATCAATGAAAACCTTTGTATATTTTTCACTAGTGTATGATAGGCAACTATACTAATTGCTTATTGTGGCGATTATTTCTTTCAGATAAAGAAGTACAATATATACCACAACATATTAGTTTGAAGCAGACTACACTGCAACAGAATACTCCGCAGAAATTTACACAGCAAAGCCATACACCACAGCAAAGCCATACACCACAGCAAAGCCATACACCACAGCAAAACTCACCATTTATCATACCACATAAGCAAATTCTACAACAGGATACACCGCAACATTATATACAGCAACACGACACACCACAACTACATACAAAGCAACAGGACACACCACAACAAAACTCACCTCAGCAGTATAATCCTCATCAGCAAACACCACAACAGTTTACAAAGAAACAGGACACACCGCAAGAAAACATACCGCAGCAGTATACTCCGCAACAGTCCACTCCACAAACCACTCAAGATCGACAGCTGGAAATGAGTCCAAGTAAAATGAATGCACCAAACACCACAGAGGTCACTGTTTATAGAACCGTAGACAGGAATTATGTGCCACCGCAAGCTTCACATCAAACACGTCATTCACAAGATGCACTTAGGCAGCATTCTCCTGAACAAAAATCAGTTCATTTTGATATTGATGACTTTTTTGAAACCCGTCTTTCACAAGATGTGTCTCCAAAGTCAATAGCAAATGATGAAAATAGACGAAAGGAAATCGAAAAGGAACCACAAATCAGCCCAGTTCATGAGAAAATTGAAAAAAGTCGTGTACGCTTTGTAGAAGAGGGCAGTCCCAAACAATACCAAGATGAGAATCGAAATGAAAGTAACATGAAAGACTTGACTCTTTTGGATTCTGAACGTACAATTATTCCTACAAATCAACACCAGGTTGAAGTTCAGGTCCATCACACTCCACCACAGAGAGATCAGTCCCCAACAAGGGTAGCAGAGATGCCACATTCATTGCCATTTGGAGTACCCAGTACAGGTCCTTACCCTCAATATACCATATACAATGGTCCATCAACAACCATACATAATGGACAAACCTCGCCCTCTGGTTCACATGATGTCTCCCCAACTGCGCCTTTTGCATCTGTTGATTTGCCTCCTAGGAATTACTACCCAACTTTCAGTGATAGAAAGAGATCAAAAGCTGCAGCAGGTAAACCTAGCAACCATAAAACATTGCCAGAAAGTGAACAGCCAAGCAGTCTGCAGGGCGAGGTTGATATGAGTGGGTACAGAACAGTTTATGATAATCGTGGCAAACACGCCAAACCTGGAAGGTAAGTTCACAATAAAATAAATAGAAGCCTCACTCAAATTAAAGACACTCCAATTTTAAACCACAGGCAGCTGTAAATGAACATCTATTTTATATCTTCATAATAATATTTTTCTAATTATAAGAACAAAGCTGCCAAAAACTATAGACCTCTTTAAACAGTTTAATATTATTCTTTAATACATGTTTTATTTAGTTGCTGCCTTTGTCAGGCCTAATGTTTATTATATTATAATAGTAATTATAATGATATAATAATGATATTTTACTATATTATTATTATATTATTGTAGTATAATAATGGTGTTATTTTATTCACTGCACATGCCTCTGGAACTATTTACAAAGAAATCACAATATAAACTTTCCAAATGCATCAATTTTTTAAGCTGATTTTCTTAGATTATGTCCTCAGGCATTTAAATTTATATTTTAATAAGACTTGACCTTAATCACCCTAATCTGTATGTAGAGCATGGCATTAGCATACAACCATTTTGCCATTAAAAATAACTTGAAATCCAAACTTGGCAGCTTAAGTAAATTCCATTATTTACACATTCTTATTTCTACTTGAGAAAGCTCTCAAGTCAATTTGACTTGTTTGTCTCTGATAACTCAATCTTAATTCATAATCTTGTTTGTGAGGGTGCAAGACTATTTATGATATAGGAATTGTACATGCAGTATTATTGATAAAGAAATATTTTTTTTGGAAGAGCACATCCTTGTTTGGTGACAGTGGCTCTGCCGCTTTTGCTATTCCTTGGCGCTGTTTTCTTACCATGTTATTTTCTTTGAAAGTTGTTCTGTGTATTGTTTTTCCTCTTTTGTAATGTATTTTTGCATTTTTCACCAAAAGTAATACAATTTTAAAAATAAATAAATAAAATAAAATATTTTGCTATACTAACAAAGTAATACATTTAAATAATGAAATTTATTAATTAATACATGTTTTAATTATCTGTTAGCTGTTAAAACCTAATGTGTGATGACATATTAACATTTAAAATAAAGTATTCTTGTACAATATTTGATGTGTGTTCATGCACGGTTGTTTGAACAAGTTTGTGATTGGCTGCTTTTTTCATTGATGCGTTGAAAATGATTCACGGCGTACCTGGTACAATTGTATCAACACAGCTATCTATTATCAATCTGTAACAGAGATGGCCATGATATTTACCTTTTTATTTTTTTATAATTGCCTTAACAAAATTTCAAACGAGTGAGATGCAATTGAAAATATGTTATTGCAAGCTTCATTTTAGTGTGCTATCAAAAGTACAATTGTTAGAGTGAAATAACCTTTGGTATCACAATTCCTATTGGACCTACATAAGTTAAATTTACAAAAGCTCATACAGAACAAAGCTTATCTGTCATACAATGAAAGACTAATGGCTAGATTTAAGAGGTCGTATCCAGAATTTTCACCTTAACATATAATTCAATTAAATTCGCTATTTATATATGACCTGTCTCTTATACACATCTAGATGTGTATAAGAGACAGACCTGGTACAATTGTATCAACACAGCTATCTATTATCAATCTGTAACAGAGATGGCCATGATATTTACCTTTTTATTTTTTTATAATTGCCTTAACAAAATTTCAAACGAGTGAGATGCAATTGAAAATATGTTATTGCAAGCTTCATTTTAGTGTGCTATCAAAAGTACAATTTTTAGTGCCGAGGAGTCAAGATACAGTACTGCACTGTATTGTTTGCCTACATGATTATCAATGTATGGGATTTCTTGCCTGAAATTAGAAATATGTTATTGTTAACTACTGTATGTCTGTCTGTTAGAGTGAAATAACCTTTGGTATCACAATTCCTATTGGACCTACATAAGTTAAATTTACAAAAGCTCATACAGAACAAAGCTTATCTGTCATACAATGAAAGACTAATGGCTAGATTTAAGAGGTCGTATCCAGAATTTTCACCTTAACATATAATTCAATTAAATTCACGCACTTAACGAAATTCATCCAACTGACATTTCTGTTTTCCTCTGTATGAGTAGGGGCTGATTATCGTCTGCTCCAGGTTTTTGAGTCACTTTCCTGCTCACTTGCATACGAACATATCAAGAACTGAAAGTGTTCACAAAAGTGTTGAACAAGTTTAAAATTAACCGAGCCGTTCTCTCCACTATGTTAGCGTGACCACAGCTAACCAGAATATTGCATTCAAATTTTCTATTCCATTAATCTGGGAAAATGGTTTTTGTCATTTATGAAAATAGCCCAGCGTCTGTACGTAGTGGGTCATCGGTGAATGATTCAGGAAGGACAACGCCATCTAACTTCTACCTAAATGAACAGCCATCGCTTTCATCGAGCCAGACTTCTCTAGCAGGTATTTGCACTTCTCTATTCTTCATGTATAAAGTGCTCCTTTTATGTTTTTCAAAAGTAGCTTATGCCATTCAGAAAGAAGGAATTAGTCATATCTATTCAATTGAATTTAATCTTTTGTGCAGTTTTAACAAATGTATACAATTTATGGTAAGAAGTTCAAGTATTGAACTAAATATATTAGTAGTTTATTACTTTTATATTCATATTTAAATTTCTGGAGAAAGTATTTTTTTAAATCAACAAATTCCCATTCATGGTGATATAAAATTTATTCTAATTTCCTTTTTGCTACGAAAAGTTTATTATAAGAAGCAGGTACGATGATGGGCTTATTTATGTGTTGAATACTTACATACCATATTTGGGCATTTTTTTACAGTGCACGTACACTGTGGTCTAGGAATTCTCATGTTGATAATGTGTTCCATTGCTGACTCATCAGCATAATTGTTCCATTTGTAGCTTTAGGCAGTTTTTAATGAATTTGATATTATTGTTTATAACAAAAGGTATACATTTACAGCTTTAAAGTACTTTTTTTAAGTGATTTGTGGCAAATATGTTATAAGAATATATCCATTATTCTTCTTTTTTTTTTTTTATGTAGGAAGTTTCGGAAACTTAATTTAAGCTGTGTTTATTGATCTGTATTTTAAATGACATCAAATGAGCTATTAAATGTATCCAGATCCCGTAAACTTCCTAATAGTACTTCGTAATTGGTCTCTAGTACATTTATTATTTATTATCAATGAATACCATCCTTCCTATCGGAAGTTTTTAAAGTAATCATAGAACTATTTCAGCAAATTTTGCTTTGCGAAAGCTCCACTGCAAGAGACCTTCAGAAATTCAATGGTAATTTATTAGCAATTAGAACCCCTCTGAGAGGATAAAAACAAAATCATTCTACATCATTGAGGCCTTATCTCCCTATTGGGCAGCTATTTATATATGACTGGGTTTACGAGTAGCAATTTTCATAATATGAATTCCAGTGTTGACCAATAAATGCCCATAATTTTGTACCTACTACCTTTGCTTAAGAGGAGAGTTTTCTCTTTATATAAGAAATTGTTGTGTGTACTCTGGGGTTAAGATCTCTGGAATTGAGTTGGATTGAATAATTGAGTCAGGATTTTAAAGAAAAATATTTCAAGAAAATTAAGGAAAATGTAGGGTGATAGGTTTGGAATGTGTGGCATGATACAGGCAAATATTCAGAAGGTATCTATTTCATTGTCATTACCTAGAAAATGATCCCAAATAATTGTATAATTTACATAAATTTCTGGTATGGTTATTTTAATGTATTACTTAGGATTTTCCCTGTCTTTTATATTGTTATTTTTCATTCAGTTATCAAATATTTAATGTTTAAATTTTAATAATGTTCAAACTATCAAGTTGTCCATCATTTTTTTTGTAGAAATATATATTTAAATAAATTAACAAATCTATTGTATTCAAATTACCAATAAAGTGCGGTTGAATCTACAGAGAAGCAGAGAAAGAAAATTTGTATATGTCATAAATAATAATGTATTAGGAGATGAAATTTTTAAAGTATATCCTGTTTTGTAAGAGAATCATGCAAAAATTGACATCTAAATATCGCAACTTGTTATTACCCATCATCATAAAATGTTATATTTATTGTAGATAATTTGATATCATTTTCAAGACCCATGCACCTATTAAAAGCATCAGGTGGCACATTTCAATACAGGTGGTTGCTAAAACTTACAATCATACCCCGGCGTTAAACTGTTTCTTTTAGGTTTACCAAGCAGCATGTTGCAAAGTTGCATTCACCAGAAAGACATAAACTAATTTAGAAATTATGTTTCTAGGCTAAGAATTTAATGGTTGATTGGTAGGTGAGGGAGCATTGAATGTTAACCTCTATTGATAAATTTCAACTGTTAAATTTCCTTTGAACTAGATGTGGAGTTATTGATGCCAGGGTTTTTTTTTTGTAATAGATTTATAAGGGATATGCATGGCCAATTATTCTCTTAAATATCTGCATATCAAAGCACTGCGGTATTGATTATTAAAACATTAAGTTCATGCAAAGTATATCAATTTATATTTTCAGAGCCTGGTGTTGAGAATGTTCGATTTGTCAAAGATTTATCATCCTGGTGGTACAAGCCACATATCACACGAGATGATGGTAAGTTATAATTGAACCTAATGATCCACAACTGCTGGGTAACAGGGGATGTATGGACCAGTACACCGAGTTAACCCCTTACTCGCCTCGAAAGATGTACTGGGTTCTTTAAAGTGCACATGAGCCAATTGTGTACACTGGGCCTACAGTATAGTCCTTATCCGAGAAGATTTGTTCCAACACCAGAACCATAGGCGAGCGTGCCGTTTAACCCAGTGCAAGTATAATTCTGGCTGTAGGTTGTGGTGGCCCTGCCATACCGCTCAGCCATTCGACTCACCTTCCAATCACAATGTCATGGGTTTGATTATTTTTTACTATATTTCATAATTTTATATCTCTTGAATTGATGGATTAAAGCCAATATTTTAATCATGTGATTATTAGTTATCGTGATATTTTACGAATGATCAATTAGTGCATTATCTGACATATCCTGAATGACTAATAACTTTATCTACTCACTTTACCACAGCGATATCCATGTTGAAGGAAAAACAACCAGGTACGTTTGTGGTGCGTGATAGTAACTCATTCCCTGGTGCTTTTGGCTTAGCAGTAAAAGTAGCGACCCCACCTCCTAACGCTCCACAGCAGAGGAAAGGTGAGTTTTTGTCAAGTTGTTCATTTAGTTATGATTATAATATTAATTTCATTTTAATGGCTTTTATTTTAAAAATCTATAATCTCTTTTTTAATGTTTTGTTTTTTTACTATCCTATTCTAAAAAGAATTGTTCATTTCATTGATTTCAAGAAGGAAAATGAGAAAAAAAAATAATAACATTTATTTACATAGTGCATTTTCATATTTCTGTTTAATGTGCTTTACATAAAAAGATGATAACATAAAAGTGTTATAATTGAGAAATTTGGCATATTGACGATCAATTTATTTCCTTATTAGCTGGCGATCCTGTTTCTGAACTTGTACGCCACTTCCTCATCGAACCAAACTCACGTGGCGTGAAACTCAAAGGTTGCCAGAATGAGCCAATATTTGGCAGTCTTTCAGCACTTGTGTACCAGCATACAATGAAGCAACTTGCACTTCCTTGTAAACTTGTTTTGCCAGAAACCGGTATGTAATGAAATGTTTTAATGTCAAGCTTGTTTTTATGTAGTAGTTGCACTCCTCATTTTTGTCAGTAAGCGTATTTGAAATCAGTTCTTTATAGAGTACTACAGTGTTATGTCACGATACCACGTGATACTACTCTGTTGCTATCGTTACCAAATGAGTTCAACTGGACGCCATTTTCTCCACTGACAAACCATTGATCTCAATTTCTAACGTAATTAAGATGTTGTATCTTAGTTTTTCTTTGTAAATTTTTAATTGATGATTAAATGTGTGTTCGATAACTGATATAATGCGAGCTTTTGTGTTTTAGTACATTTTGATTGTAAAATATTAGATTTTAAAATGCCTATTCCAGAAAGCCTATGAAGTCATTCAGGCGTAATGAACAGTAACCAACGTCTGGTTGGCGACAGAGGGCGCCACCTGGCGTTGTGACGACAAGACTGTGGGACTCTATTGTATCAATACATAAAAAAGTTCTCACCTGAATTGATACTTTGCACACACACCCTCCCAAACCCACTCTCTCCACCAGCAGATATATCTTGTTCTGTCCCTGTATGAATTAATTTATATATTCATGAAAATCATTAATACACATACACTACTGTAACATGTCTCTTCACTATGCACTAGAAAGTGTAAAAGAAAAGTATTCAAATTACTTCAATGACTTTAATCTCTAATTATATCTTTCTTAACATCTGTTTGCTATAGGGATAGTTTGCTACTGTCGTAATTGCTCTTACCACAATCAGTTTGCTTTCTGTTGTGTTTAACACATTTTCTTTGGCCTGCTTCTATAAAAATAGCTAAGAATATTCATTTATCAGCTTAACTATATATAAGGATATAATTAATTACTTGTAATTGGATACTTATTCATTATGGTGACATTTTCACTAGTAATTAAATTAACTACTGAGTACCATGAAATTTAATATTAGTTTTCTTCATGTCTCTTCTCCTTTAAATTTCTTGTATAAAAGAAATGAAATATAGTAGGCCAACCAAAGTAGGCCTCTGTCCTGGGAACAACCACTGACAACAAGGGGAATTAAGTGAGATGACAGTGTTGGTATGTTACTCCAAAGGTTGCTAGATCAATTCTCACAGTAGATTATCTTTATTTTGCTCCATTTTTTATCTGTTGTATTTATAATTTATATTACTTGTATATTTTGAATTTAGATCCAGCAAATGTTCCAGGATCCGGTAGTGATGCCAACTCAAGAGCCAACCTTTTGGCCAAAGGAGCAGGTAAGAATTATATTATTTATTATTTTATTGAATTTTTAAAGATAATTTGGAGGGGAAAAACATTTGCTATATAGGTATGTGACTAATATATGACATATATACTACATACAAATTCAAATACATAGGTATTTAATGCAGACTGTCTCATCCAGTCAAAGGTATAGAGAACTCAGCATGTTTATATTATTTTCAAAACACTAATGGATGAAGGCCCGCTAACAAACCACTACTTTTAAAGCAATTCTCTCTATTAGACTCATACTTCTAAAAACTTATGTTCATTTTAAGCTTTACATTTACAAATTCAGAAATATGTTGAGTTTTATTATATTTATTTTTATATTATTATTATAAAAAATATATGTACTTGTAATTTTCATTTCAGCCTGCAATGTGTTGTATCTGCATTCATTTGACATGGAGTCTTTAACAGGATCAAGCGCTGTGAGTGAAGCCACAAATCGATTAACGGAACTCTCTACTAAACCGCCCTCAATCATTGTACATTTCAAAGTGTCCTCAAAGGGAATTACAGTGACAGATAATAACAGAAAGTAAGTTTTAAATCAGTGTTCCAATTTTTTCATGTGAAGCTTAAATAATAACTTGCCTTGAATAACATTTTAGTTACTGGTGTTAATTAATAATAATGTATTTTTGGCATATAAAATATTTTATGCTTTGTTGATGTTTTACCTTTTCATTGTAAAAATTGTATTTTTTGAGATCTTGATTCTTTAATTTTTGAAATCTTTTTCTGTATTACCTTAATTGTATATTGTTTAAAGTGGACTGTCTATTTTGTCATTGTAATTATTGTGCAGGACCATATATTAAAAACCGGCATTAACATCTGCCAGAAAATCTATCCTGGGTAAAGTTGTTATAAATTTTTTTTATAAATTAAAAAAAGTAAATAAATGGGGAAAAAAATGACATTACTTGTGCTTCAACCATTTTATCTCATTTATTCTCCTTCAGGTAATGGAATGTCACACTGATATAGCTAGTTTTATGCTTAAAATATTGGAAATTTATTTTGTTTTATTCTGTGCATTTTAATTTAATTTTAATTGATATCTGTATCTTCTAGACTGTTTTTCAGAAGACATTATCCAGTTGATTCTGTCCTTTTCTGTGGTTCTGATTCAGGCAGTAGAAGGTTTGTTATACTTCAAATGCTTGTGTTTAAATATATGCTTACTTAGGTTTACTTCAGATATTACTGGACACAGAATATAGTCCTCTATGTCCAGATCCAAATTTGCTGATTCTGGTATTTTGAATCTTGGCCTTGTGGTTTAAACTAACTTCAATTGCTTTTTTTCCATAAATTTACAATTGCTAAATTAACAATTATGCATAATAAACAAAAAGACAAGTAAAACAATCTTCTAAGTTTAATGATTAAGAAGAATAAATGTTTTTAGCAAGCACATCCAAATAAGTAAAGTTACTATGTTACTTAATAAAATGTTCTGATTATATCAATGGTTTATTGTTGATCTGTTTGAAATATTGTTTTTTTTGTAAAGATGTTTAGTATAGGAGAGCCACTTGATAGTGCTTGCACTTTTGGCAATCCTTAGGTAATGAACATCTTGTTTGTTGAATGTTTTGTCTTGTATTGCTTTTACCAGGATATTAAATAAATAAATTAAATTAAATGATTGTGATTCTTTTTTTTGCAGATGGCAAAGAGACGAAAGCAGCAAAGAAGCAGATGCTCGAATTTTTGGCTTTGTCAGTCGCAAACCCGGCAGCATAACCGACAATGTCTGCCACTTATTCGCAGAGTATGAAAAGGAACAACCAGCATCAGCTATTGTCAGTTTTGTAACAAAGGTTCTGATTGGTCAGGCCAGTAATACTTCTGTGAAATCGCCTTGATATGCAGAAATTGGAAAAAAGATAGTAACCGAGAATATTGACTATAGAAAAGAGAGAGCTAATTAGTAACTTATATGCTAATGAGTTATTCATAGCTTATGAATTATTCATAAGAAGGTGCTGAAATAAAGATGTAAAGGGCTATTGAGAATGACAAATAAAACAATTTTCTGACATCACACTGTGAATGTCATAGGAAATTATGAGAAGAAAATAAGTTTCCCTCCAAGGTTTAATTTTTTAGTTGAAGAGTCAGAATAAGAAGATTAAGTGGGAAAGTTATTTAAAAAAATATTTTGAAGAAAAAAGAAATTCAAAATGTGGAAAGGAAACCACAAGAAGTGCAGTAAGTGATGGAAAAGGATTTGTTAATTGGATAAAGTGTTATCTTTGATTTCAGTTTCCATTTTATCTGAGTTATTTCAGTTTTTGGCAAAATGTTTTAGGGCAAGTAGAAAACAATTGTTAGATTAACACTTTGTCTTTCAAATCTTTGACATGAGAGGGTTGCTTTTTGACTAATTTACGGTACCATACAAGACCAGCATTTTTCCTGATGCAAATGACATTCAGAGATCACTACATACTTGATGGTTTTGGAATCGTTATTTGTGAGTCCGCCATGTGATCGGTGCAGCCTTTGTTTGCATGTCAAGTCTAGCTATAATGTTATGTGGCAACCATGTGAATGTCTTGTTATAGGAGACGTAACAAAAGAAAAAAGGTACTGAAAAATCTTGATGAGGTTGTTAATCTAATTTTTTTTTTCTATCAGCCTTCAAAAATCAGTTATCACATGTAAAGTTCTGGTTATGCTAGACCCCAAAATAAAATATCAACAACTATTTAAGTATGTGATGTAAATACATGTGATGTATTCAGCAAATAGAGATAATCGCTTATTTTGCAAAGATCATTTAGTATATAATTGGCCGCATGAGGGCTATTTTCAGTAACATGCAATAGTGAATAAGATATACATAGTATTAATGCCTATCATGTTCTTATCCAAAGAGTTACCAACAGTTATAAGATAAAAAAAAATTATGACGTTTAATTAAGAAAATCGTAATTAATGTGTTGATGATTAATTAGAAATTACTTAAATATAGCATCATAATTGATAGAGAACCTTGCTTGTTGTTAGTGTCATTTGTTTATTTTAAATGAGGAGCTTATTATCTATATCTTATCTATTATAATATTATAATTACTAATAGTGTATTTAATTAGAAAATCTACCACTGTTAATAACATGTAATTCTAATTTATAATTCAATAATGATAGTTTTAATTGTATATATTTTTTTTTTTTGCTTTGTTTGCTTCTGAAATTAACAGATCTTTTTTTTATGTACAGTTTGTTAAAACTATATGAAAATATACATATATAAATATATATAAATGGTGTGTAATTTATTGTAAATGTAGTTTTTGTAGTATAACCATCATAACGTGTCTTAAGACAAAAAGTTATTGTTTTAGTTGTCATGACAACCAACAACTGGGTGGAAAGTATTCTCCAAGAAGTAATATTCATCATATATGAAATCTTGCTTTGATAATATCCCTACTAATGATATAATTTTGATATTTTGACTTAGTTCAACTGTTTAACTTAGTTTACAGCTGTTTAACTTCGTTTAATGTTTATTGAAATGTTAATATAATTTTAGATTGTGTCAGTTTGCTTTAAAGGTTTAAGAATAGGTCTTTTTAAAATAATTGGTATGACTAGCCTACAAGGTTTTTAAGTCATCAAATGTTAACAATTTTTGAGATGTATCAGATACATAAAAAGATACATAAATATTGTTTTGTTACTGTTATTATAATGAACAATGTTAATGTTGCATTATACCTATAAAGTGAAGATATATTTAATGCTACATATCAAGCATTTTATAGAGTATTCAGTCATTGATACATTTAAGACATTTAGATGCCCTCCTGCAAGCTCTACTTATTTGACATATACTGTATGTTACTTTGTAACAGTAAACCTATTAATAAGATTTTGTTTTAAAGGGTGCTTTTCCGTAATTTATTGTAAATAAACCAAACTTGTTTGTTCATACAAAATGTTTAAGTGTTCCTGAGCCAATTTTTTTGTTTGTTGAATTAAAAGTAATTTATTTATTCTTTCACAATAGACATGTAGACACGTCTTTCACGGTACGTCATGTACACGGTCTATTGCGATCATCAACTGGAAGTTTTTGACATACCAGACGCTCTAGGCAGAAATCCAATGGTGATAGAGCCTTTTTGCTGCACCTATCCTTTGGAACCAGTTACCAACTGACATAAGAGAAGCTACAAGTTTGGATATATTCAAGTCAAAGCTCAAGAAATTCCTGTTTTCTTGATTTGCTGACCTCTGACCCTGAAACCTTCACTTAGAAATTCCGGGATGGTGTCCGGCGGGGGATAGTTTAACCAATTATTTAAGTTAGTTTATTATAGCGTACTGTATGTAAGTGTGGTATAAGATTTTAGTGTCCAGGGTACGATGTTATAAACTGCATCCTGTCGGGTCGTCGGCCACTAATTCCAGCAACCCCATTTGGTGGTCTTAGCGGCCGCCGATGGGTGGGTGGATGGACACCTAGCAGCATATAAAAAAACAGCTGAATAAAGGGTGGATGAACTCCTCAAAGTCAACAGCCAACCATGCTTTAGTTTAAGGATTAGGTTTTAGTTTCATAAGATAACATCTACTTTTTTCAAAATGTCAAACTCCAAAGAGTTCAATCACCAAGCGCATAGATGCTTTTTCGCATTATGTGCTATACAAATCCAACTATTATTTGTTCTTTATTACATAATATAAAATTACAATGCACTTTTAACATTACAAAGTTAGTAGTGTTAATACTACTGCAGTTGTGGTGGCCTCACTCCATCTAGGTGTGGTGACCTTCGAGAAGAAAAACACACTTTCTTGGGGGAGGAAAAATATATTACTGTATATTTTTTACATACAGTATTAGTAGACTCTAAAATCTTCTTTTAAACCCCTAAATTGTCATAGTTTTCGGGAATACTCTCCCTGGATCACTTCCGAGAAATTTTGACACCAAATCCTGGCACCACCCCTGACTCCATTATGACAATGTGATTGTGTAACATTGTTGAGGTGCAGCAACCGACTGTGCCTTCTTGTTAATTGTATAATCTTTATGCACCTTCTTGTTAAACTTTTGTACTGCATGTTTTATTTAATATTTTTGTCATCTGCCAAGCAATACGATTTTCTGGATTTTTATATGGACAAATAAAAAATCTTGAAGCTTGAATCTTGGACCTGGTGAGGCAAGTCCATAACTTTAATTGGAGATTATGGCACATAGGGGAGACCAATGAGCAATCCTGAAAGGCTAATGCGATGGCATAGCACTCTGGTATTCAAACTTTTTAATACAGAAACCCTGAGCAACCCTATAATCCAGAGACATGCCTTGGTGGGGTTAAGGTGGGTAAGGAAGGAAAAATTAGAACCCCCCCCCCCCCTTTTTAAAATATCCTGCCTGCAGGCCTGTTTATTATAAGAATTAGATGAGTCAGTGTCAAGTCACAGAAAATGAGTATTAAAAATATCAGGACTAATATGTGACTCAGAGGGTTACCACCATCCTCTATCAACAAACAATTTTACATGGATTTAAATCAAATTTATATTATCAAAGTCCATTTTCCTGCTCTTCCTTGATAAAAACAAACTTAAGTATTTATATCAAGTTGAAATTCTCAATAAATTTTTACATTATTGATAAATGACACAGGCTCCACACTTGTTTGGGTCAAACAATAGTAAACATTTATACACAACTTGGTTGAAGAGCCCCAATTTATTATGTGTGACAATAAAATCATTCATGCAGAAATGTCATTTCTCCTTATCAAATTGTCAAATATCAATACCAAATGCTATTTACTCTGCGACATCTGCAAAACAGCGCTCCTAGGTACCGATAATTTCCATAACAGAGGGCACACCTTGCCAAGTAAAATGCGACAACTATGCTAACGTCAGTCACCGGGAAGTATTCTAAGAAAGCAGATTGAAGATACCGGTGAGGAAATATATATTTGTTTGTTAAAACTGGCACTGGCAAAACCAGTCGTTTGTCAGAAATATTCAATATTGGGTTTGAATTTTTAGAATAGGCATAATTCTTCTTTAAAATCGTGTTTATTTGATGGAAATTGGTTGAGTATTTATTCATTGGATATCCGCCATGTAGTAGGTTTGATAAACAGCTTCCAAAACAAATATTTTATTATTAAGATTTGTATTTTTAAAATAATATCCTTTTCAGTTAAATTTATTGATTGATATTTTGCAGAAATGTTCTTTGATACACCGTCTTATGAAATGGAAAAACTTGAAAATGTTCCAAATTCTAATTCATTTTGGGTTCTTCTGCAAAATTAGAAATTGTGACAAACGGCGGGTTTTGCCAGAGCCAGTAAACCTTTTTAAAATAATAATTAACGACTTGTCTAATCGGGCGTCACAGCTGAAAGTCCGTACGCAGGGGGTGTGACGGGTGCGTACTCACCCTCCCACCAAATTACCAAAAAAGGCCCACATTTTCTATGGTAGAAAATTCAAGACACACTCGCACATTCCAGAAATCCATCCACCAAAACTCCTTGACCAATCAGAGCCGTTTTCAACTAGGACTGCCTCTAATTTGTCATACAAGCAAGGCCTTTTAACTGTATAAGCTTTTGGAAGCCACGGATATTTGATGAATTATGGCGAATTTTTATTACTTTTTTGATAGGCATCGAGTTACTATAATGGCTTCATGTAGGCCTACACTATGCTTTCTAATGTTGAAATCAGCTTCCAAAACCAAAACATTTTGAATAAAGCAAGAAACCAAGAGTATGCAATGTAACCATCTAATTTATTTTCAAATCCTCATTCTTGAAAGTGAAATTCTATATTTTGAAAATTTTGCATGAAATCTGTCAACCACGCTGTCATGGTCGAGGTTGCTTCACCTACCACGATGTATTCCAACCATCATGAGGCTATCTAAATGAGCATTGTCATAACAGAACGCAAATGCTATGCGCTATGCTTCCCCTCTGGCGCCACCACTGACAAATTCATCTTTCTATAAGTTTAACTAAAATTATCTTTATTCTCGTTAAAGTCTGTGAGTGCTATTGCTAGTCATCTAGAGGTGCCATAATCATAAAGTTTCTTACCTCAGCCCCAACCATGGTGGGACTGAGGTATTACATTCCCAGTGGCAGATTCAAGTAGGCGAGCCGGTCAGTTTGGATATATTCAAGTCAAAGCTCAAGAAATTCATGTTTTCTTGATTTGCTTACCTCTTACCCTGAAACCTTCACTTAGAAATTCCGGGATGGTGTCTGGCAGGGGATAGTTTAACCAATTATTTAAGTTAGTTTATTTTAGCGTATGTAAGTGTGGTATAATATTTTAGTGTCCAGGGTACGATGCTATAAACTGCATCCTGTCGGGTCGTCAGCGACCAATTCCGGCAACCCCATTTGGTGGTCTTAGCGGCCGCCGATGGGAGGGTGGATGGACACCTAGCAGCATGTAAAAAAATAGCTGAACAAAGGGCGGATGAACTCCTCAGAGCCAACAGCTAACCATGATTTAGTTTAAGGAGTAGGTTTTTTTTTTCAGGATAACATCAACTTTTTTTCAAAATCAAAGAGCTCAATCACCAAGCGCATAGAGGCTTTTTCGCATTATGCAATGTATACAAATCCAATTATTATTTATATTACATGATACAAAATTACAATGCACTTTTAACATTACAAAGTTGGTAGTGTTAATACTACTGTGGTTGTGGTGGCCACACTCCATCACGGTGTGGTGCCCCTCGAGGAGAAAAACACACTTTCTTGGGGGAGGCGAAAAACATATATAGTATTAGTAGACTCTAAAATCGTTTAAATAAGTCTTTTAAACCCCTAAATTGTCATAGTTTTCTTGAATACTCTCCCTGGATCACTTCCGAGAAATTTTGACACCAAATCCTGGCACCACCCCCGACTCCATTATGACAATGTGATTGTGTAACCTTGTCGAGGTGCAGCGCATAACCGACTGTGCCTTCTTGTTAATTGTATAATCTTTATGCACCTTCTTGTTAAACTTTTGTACTGCATGTATTAATTTTATATTTTTGTCATCTGCCAAGCAATACGATTTTCTGTATTTTAATATGGACAAATAAAAAATCTTGAAGCTTGAATCTTGGACCTGGTAAGGCAGGTCTGTAACTTTTATTGGAGATTATGGCACATAGGAAAGACCAATGAGCAATCCTGAAAGGCTAATGCGATTGCATAGCACTCTGGTATTCAAACTTTTTAAAACCCTGGGAAACCTTATAATCCAAAGACATGCTGCCTCGGCGACCCAGCCGTGGGTAAGGAAGGAAAAATTAGAACCCCCCCCCCTTTTTTTTTTAATCCTGCCTGCAGGCTTGTTTACTATAAGAATTAGATGAGTTAGTGTCAAGTTGCTAATGTGGGACTAATCAGAGGGTTAACATCATCCTCATCAACAATCAATTTTACATGGATTAAAATCAAATTTATATCATCAAAGTGCATTTCCCTGCTTTTCCTTGATAAAAACAAACTTAAGTATTTATATCAAGTTAAAATTTTCAATCGATTTTTGCATTATTGATAAATAACACGGTCTCCACACTTGTTTGGGTCAAACAATAGCAAACATTTAAACATAACTTGAGCTCCAATCCATTATTTGTATTCCCTTGATGTCACATCCAGCCGCCGTGTGGCGATGTTTATCGTTGAGTTGAGAATATAAATATGTCGTCAAGCAGACATCCATTGAGTTACTACAATCTGGTTTCCGGGTCTTTCATTATATTTGTTATTTTAACAAACAACAGTGACAATAAAATTATTCATGTATTAAAGCATTGATTGGTCCTTATAAGTTGTCAAATGAAAATACCAAATGCTATGTGCTCTGCGAAATGTAGACTGCAAAACAGTGCTCCCAGGTATCGACAATAGACCTTTCCGGGCTGTCAATCAAACTTCCA